TTAACTTATTCATCATCATAACTAAATTTATTTATATATGATTTATATTTTATAATTAGTGGGAATTTTGTAGTAGATATTTGTAGTTATCAGAATCACAATCAACTATATATTTGGATATACATTATCGTATGTATTGCATATATAATTGGAAGCTTGATAATTCATGATCTTTAATTTATATTTATTTAAATATTTAATTGCATTTATTTTGTAACCGAAAAGAAATATTTATGTGACGCATGATAAAATTAGAATTCAATTCATTTTGTCAACGTTAAAGCTTCTTACGGTTAATTAGTACTCATAAACTTGATATAGTCTAATATATCCATATAGCTTATCCTTAGTCTATGCATCAGATGAAAAATCTTATTGCCTTTATATTTAAATCATTGAATTGATTATTAGTTTTATAATCACTTAGTATTGTCATTTTAATGAAATGAATAATTTGAAAAACCATATATCCCATATGTCATATCATGTGTATTATTAACGTATAAACCATCAGTTGTGATTGCATTATAAGGAAATCGCACTCAATGGGAAGTTTGTGGATACATAATAAAAAGGATGAATGTAGCTACGAACGGATCCTAGTCGTTCAATAGGTATGCTTGCTAAAAGTTTTAAAGTCGTCTAAGTTATGTGTCTACTCGTGGACAACTTAATTATCTATATGATGTGTTTGCGCACTTACGATTAATTATCTACAATATAATTCAAATTGTTGAGAATTGAAAAATCCACAATCTTTGGGTACTATTATGAAAATATAATAATAAGTAAATAAGTTGAAATGAAAATGATAGTTAAACCCGTATATTGAGGGGCATGAGATATGATATATCTTTAATAACATTTTAGAAGATAAAATCATTTCTTCTGGAAGTAGCTAAAATATAGATGTGCTATTGGCTAATTAATCACTAAAGATCCTAGTCGTTTGTGTTCGGGGGTGATTTGTATATTCGAACATTTTACTATTTGTTGTTTGCATGAATTGATTAGTGTTATATTTCGAATAATGGGTTACATATGAATATTGTTCAGAGTATCATTTGGCATGATTTAATTGTTAAAAGTTAACTGAAATATTAATTAATTACTTGTTTATTTGTCCATTCAAAATTCACTAACTAAGAAATATTTTTATGACATTCATTAGCCTGACAATTGTACGTAATTATTTTAGTTTATGACTATGCATGGCATTTATTTTACATAAAAATAAAATGGTGTGAATTTTTGACTCTATTCTTTAAATTATTCTGTTTCCACTCATAAATCCAATTTTGAATAATTGTCTACATATAGTCATTGTTTATAAATAAAATAAAGTTTAAAGTTATGTTTGGTGAACTTTCAAATGGATTTAACACTTCATGAATTCAAGATATTATTGCATGCATGAATTTAAGTATGTGAAATTTTGATATTCCATGAGACTATGTCCGTGCTATTTGATTTGTTTGAATTCTAGAATGCCTCTGCATGAAAACCATTCTATGATAATGGCTCAATTATTTTCACATTGTTTAGATTGAAAATGATTCTCATAATATGTTTATGTTATCAAAAGTGAAATACTGAGTTTGAATTAAGTGTGCAGTTTATTTTGGTGAAAATCAAAATTTGATAGAGATATGTTTTCGTAGTAAATTAAATCAAATGTTAATTATCCTTACGTATGCCGATGCATGGCATTAAATGGTGACTTTGAAAGCTAACCAATTATTGCTTTTAATTAATATTTTGAGGTATGTCTTTATTTTTTGCCAAACATTTTCAAAGAAATACTCGAAAGTCAAATTTGAGAATTTATTCATTAAAAATTATTTCTATGAGTATTTCTCTTTATTTGAAATAACTCGATTTAAAGGAAAATATTGGGAAAGTCTATATTTTCATTTGAAATCTAAAACTCCCACTATCCTTTGTGAATTTTGCTTAAATAGCTCATTTCAATCACTTGAAACTAAAAGCTCTATGCTATTGTTGTTACAATAATTATTTCGTGCCTAAATTCTCTTGAAATGTGGGGGTATTTATTAAAATGAAAACTTGATCATATAAGATCATGTATGAGAAAATTAAATATTTGATCATTGATCTTCGTACAAGAAATATGATATTCTCTCAACAGTAAAGTCTGAAACACTTGTTAAAGATCTGCCCTCTAAGGGTGTAAACATCATTGATCAAATTAAAATTTCGAAAGAAATGATCATTGATCTATTAAAGATTCATCCTATAAGGATGTAAAAATTCATCGAGGGGGATGGGCATAAGCCCGTAAGGGAGTCACCTCCGGGAGTAACCCAACCTTTGTGATTGGAGACCCCATGAAGAAGGTTCAATGTGGTAGAAACAACCCGTAAATGCGTGACTCATTAAGCACTAAATTAAAATTATGAGGAGAGCACCTCCTTCCCATCCCTATGGTGATAGTGCTTTATAGTGTGACGAAAAGGATGGGTTTAACCCTTAATGAAACCAAAGCGGGAATACCGTAGGGTGGAGGTCATACGTACCCTTGGAGGTTTCACCTAAGTGAAAAGTTGCCATGAGGCCGTGGCTATGGGTTTGGGCTAACCCTAGAAACTTTCACGAGAATCAAGATAAAAGCGCATGGCCGATAACGCGCTAACCCGCTTGAACTGAACCGATATCGATATTGTGTGTGTGATGCATTGAAGTTTGGTGAAGGGACGTAATTCAAAGCGCTTGCGCCATTACCGCTCCCTCAAATGGAAATCATCAACACTAAGTGTAGGCTCAAGCTCGGAAGGCTCCTACACCCATTACACAATATTAGTGCCCTATTTTATATATAAGTATACATGCATACATTTTAAGTTTTAAACCTTGTGGGGGATTGTTGGAAATTTGAGAAGTTTTAAAACTTAAAATTGCTTTTATTATTTTAATTATATTTTGTAACGTCCCCTTCAATGGCCATTATGCACCATTAAACTCTCTTTGACCCTTAAGGTCACAACCACCCTATAAATAGGGTCATTAGCTTACTTGCTAGAATACATCATAGCATATAACACTACACATACACACTTACACAATGCATGCATCATCTTCTATATTTTCCTATAAACCTTGGGCACTTAGATAAGGTTCGTTCTTTAGCTTCCTATGATCGTTGCTCATAGACGAAGCACCGGCGAGGCCATTGGTTTTATCTTGGGAGTATGATCAGCCGTCAATACCTGCACGAAGGGAGGCAATCATTCTCTTAGGACAGTGTCTAGTGGCACGACTCCTATTCAGGCCAGCCGTTCTATTACTTTCACTTTAATCTATTTTCTATTCCTATATGATTATCTTATTTTATATATTGCATGTTCTTAATTGTTTAATATAAAATTGTATTATCCAAAATTATATTCACAACAGATTATGGGGTGTTGTTGTTAGACGTGTATTTTAATGTGGGAATTACCATCTGATTGGATGCTAGTAGCTTTCTATTCCTTGTAATGAATGAGAAAAATAGTCGGTTTTAAAAGATAGCAGTTGGTCGTTAATTCATAAAATAATCGGTTTAATTTGAAAGGTAGATACTCACGCGGTTATTGGTGATACATGTGTAGTTTAATTTGGATTGATTTTCTTTGTTGTCTATTTCTTGTTGTGCTGCTTGTGCATGACATAAATAATTGGTTTTGATAAATTTTATTTGGGCAGTTATTCATAAAATAGTTGGTTTGACAAACATGCTGAAAAACAAAATAGACTATTTTGTCATAAAAAACAACTATTTATGTCACGTGATAACAAAAACGACTATAAAATGTACTAAAATTCCAGCAAAAATAAAAAAAATGTGTGTCATTAATTCCAGGAAGAACAACTACATTATAACAAAAACAACTCTGCAAAACACCTAATTTCACACTCACCTACAAAAATTTAACAAAAACGAGTAAAAAAAAAATCTCAATTGTAGCAAAAGAACCCATTTATGTCATGCATACAACATGACTATTTATATCAGGGAAAACAACTATATAGGTCACATGATAACAAAAGCGACTATAAAATGAAATACAATTCAAGCCAAAACAAAAACAAATAATGTCACTTCAATTCCAGGAAAAACAACTTATTACTTCTCACGATAACAAAAACAACTATAAAAAGTCTAACAATAAATGACTACAAAAATTACTCAATTCCAGCGAAACCCTAACACCGCCATGCGAAATAAACCCACAAAATAAAAAATAGAAATCTAAAAAAAGCTTTAAAATATTCAAATTCCAGAGAATCCTAGTGTCGCCAAGCAAAAGAAACTAACAATTGAATCTAAAACTCTTGGGAAGCCTATTGAAGCAGCTCCTACCGTCAATCTTCAGGAACCGCGCCGCCGCCGCAAATCCTAACAAAGTAGCGGAACAAGAATCGTTTTAGACTTCCACGTCGATGACCTAACCTAGCGGATGATTTATTTGTAATTGTTGCCGTCAGATTTTTCATCGTTCTTCCATATGAGATTGAATATAATGACCTACAGAGAAGAGAGAGAACGAGCGAGCGAGAGGAGAAGAAAGAGAGATATACGATTATGGAAGTGGCGGATTGTGCGTGATTACATATTTAATTATTCAGAATTATCCAGGGGTAGATCAGTCATGTGAAGTCTTTATTTTAATTAAAAAGTGATTTTATTTAATAAGTGGGGGTGGGTTCTCACTAATATTAAAAAAGGGGCTGGATCCACCTTAACATACTCAAATGTTTTGGGGGTTCTCACTAATTATCCCATTAATGTATGCGTATACTATTGGAATTTATTGCGTGCAATTATTATGAGTCTCGAGCATAAATTAAAAAGCCTTGTCGCAAGCCGAAATCGATATATAGTAACATAAAGAATGTGATAAACGATAAACGAACCCCTAATTAATAAAGATGTTGATTCTCCCTCTGAGTTTGCGATTCAGATTTTCTCGTAGCCCATGCATATCCGTAAGTGAAATTTTAGTGAAGCAATTAATTGACATGTACGACGGTGACCGCTCCGTGAATTTAGTTGATAGATATCGTATAACCACCCTCTCTCGAAATAGCATTTTCGTTTACATTTGGAGGGGGAAAAAAAAAACTTTCAATACCTCAACGGGTTATAAGTTTATCAATCAATTATCAAAAACTATCAAAAATAAAATACTACTAAATCGGAATATCAAATTCAGCATACAAAAATAAAATACTATTATGTTTTTTGCATCTCTTATTTTAATAATCATTTTTAGAACACTGACACAACAAATCTAAAGCCCAGTGGGCTAATTAGGGCGGTGCCCTAAATACACGCACTTTATTTTTCCTAGGTTTTGACGTCACTCAAACTCTATAAAACGGACCGAAATTTTCTGTCTGAACCTGCGCCGTGCTTGTGTCTGAAAACCCGACAGAAAAAAATGCCACCGATACCTTCGCTGGAAGATCTCCATCGCCTAAGGCCGCCGCCTGAACCTCCGCCGCCGAGGTATGCCTTCAATTCCATCTTCTTGATTTGCTGTTTGCATGCAAAAAAAAAAAAAAAAAAATGGATTGATTTTTTTTTTCTGGTTTTGGCTATCCGCTGCAGCCCATTATAATTAAAAATCTTATAAGTGGCTGATCTTTGTTTTTTTTTTTTTTAAATCCGATTTGATTATGGACATGTTTTTTGTTCCGGATATTTGATTTGTGGTGTGTTTCTTTTCCGGGCAGATTTATTCAGACAATTTATTGATTGATTTGTAACTTTACACGTTAATTACATTGTTTATTGACAGATCTTTGTTTTTTGTTTTAAACCCCGATTTGATCATGTTTGATTATTACACAGATGGATGTTTAAAAACCTGATTTATACTTTCTTTTTATTTGCTTTTTTGACATACAGATGGAGGAGAAGCATATCGAACAATATTCTTGTCAGCGACATTAGGGTAAACCAATTCTCTGACTTTAACTTTTATCGCATCGATAGTTTCATTATATTTTTTCATTATATTTCTTATCGAGAAAAAAAATCAGTTTTATTGTTAACAAAATTTAAGAACTCACCTCTCATGTTTTGTTGACCAACCGGTGAATTCCAGATCTCTTTAATTAGTAGTGCAGTTGATAGTGTTGGAGTGTTGGAAAAGGTTGATAATTATAGAATTATCCAGTGTGCAATTATCTTCCTTAAAGCCACCTTCCATTTACTTATCAATTGCATGGCGGAAATTTTTAAAAGCTGCGGGCACAAGATTTGGAGGTTAGTTGTGGCACATCTTAATTGAATGGTTTTTCCTTACTATAATTTACTAGTTTTATTTATAATATAATTTAATTTACATTCGCTTCATGAACATGACTTCTCGAGGATTTGGCATCGATCGAGTTCCTCATTCAAATTTATTTTTATGCATGCAGCTCAGTGTGGATGGTCAGAGCATGATGAAGCTCATTTTTTAGCGATGAAAACCGTGAGTCAAAATCTGAATTCGAGTTCCATGGTATTTCGGTGTATTGTTTAATTCTTGAATTTGAGTTTCTTGGAAGTACATAAAATCGATTTTTCTTCTCTTTTTTGTAGACCGTGAGAACATGTTGCTCATTTCAACTAGCCGAACCCTACTCGGTACACTCATTTAATATGAATGCGTCCATGAATTTGAGAAATTACTTTTAGGGCGAGTATTATATTCTAAAGGCGTTTCGAGTTTCTCTGGATTTTTTTCCATATTAATTCTATGGATCATTTAAGACTTCCAACATCCGCCTCTTCATATTATTTTGATTTACAATGCCGTTACATTTCAGACCATCAAATAAAAAAATAAGACGTTTCCAGTTTTTGATAACCCCATTGTTTGTGCAGCCGTGGTCAACTGCCTAAGTTTGGCAAAATGATTTATTTGACCAAAAAATACATTGATTTTAACGGGTGGGGACTACTTGCTCGCCTGCTTGGCTGTGCACCAATGCTAGAGAAGCTGTGCACCAATGCTAGAGAAGCTGATGTTCAGATCGGTAATGTTACGAAGTTATTGTGATTTGACTAATAACATTTGTTTAATTTCTCCATGGGTGCCTTGTGTTAATTTTATTTTATTCTTAAGTTGTGTAGGGTTTTGACGATGAAAGCTATGGTATGTGGCAAAATGGTAATAGTAAAGAAGGAATTCTTGAGTATTAGATAATGGTTCTTAATGTGGAACACATGGGGTATATCTCGAGGATTTAAATGAGGTATTATTGTTTTTCCTATTCTTTTATAATACACTTTTGAATACATGCATGGATTAACCAAGTAATTAATATTCTGAATTATTATTATTTTTTTAACTAAAAACGATTTATTTTTTTCTTTTTTAAGGCCAAGATAGCTGATTAATCATATTAGAAGATATGACATTGAGCTAGATTTTCTAGATTGGTGTATCTGGATTGCTCGTGGAGGAAAATCTATTCGTCCACACTGATAAAAACATTCTCATACGGGGATATGTATTCAGGGAAATCGACCGGGTTTATATAAAAGAGGAGCTACATTCATATGAATATAAATTAGCTTTATTCCGACTGAATTTGAGGTGCTAGAAACATTATGGTATTTTAGAATGTTCCTAACACCTCAAATTCGGTCTTAGGAGAAAGAGAAGACGCTGATAGGAAAACAAAATGTAGCGACAAGACAAATTAATTCATATGAATTTAACTCCTCTTTATCGTCAACTCCGTTATTTCCCCTTTCTATCCCTTATAGAAATAGTTCACTTTCCGTTTGTTGAAATTATATATGAACAAGTGTACTTGCGTCAAAGTTTGTAGATTGTATTTTACTATGTACGAAACTAGTTTTTCAGGTTCATATGTTTGTAATAATCTTGGACTTGTCTTATTCTTAAGAATGTATCATGCCAAAAGATGTAATGATCTTTAATTTTGACGGAATGTTATTAGGAAACCCGATAAATCTTAAAATTCAAAAAGAATAAAAATTATCATGCAACTATGACATAGTTACATAATATTTTAATTATAAGTTCTTCCCCAAGATTTCCTAACAATTAAGTAATTTCATGAATGAAGAAATTTCTGTTAGGATATGCGAAACATTTGATACACACTGCTGAACGAAATTTTATAAGTAACTAGCATTTTTTCCCCGTGCGATGCACGGGATCTTATTTTAAAAGAGAAAAAAATAAACAAATTAATACATAATAAGAAAATATAGTACACTAAAATAGTAAGATTTAATAATGTAATATTATTCATATTTTATATAACAATATTGTTTTAAAATCTTACATATTAAGATTTATAATCCAAATTAGAGAAAAAAAAAAAAAAACTACCGAAGTACCATTAGGGTAGGATTCTTCACGGTTGCCCAACGTTTTTTCTTTTATATATAGATTTTTAGATTAAGTCCGATTTTTATGTATGGAAAGTTGATAGTATTGTGCCTAAAATACTTGTCAAATTGTTGATAGAATGGCTCAAAATGTGATCAAGTCAAGTATTAATGACTACGAGGGTAAATAATAAAACCCCCATGCGTCAAGGAAAACCTACACCAAACTCCTCTGTGCTTTTTTTCTTGCGTAAAATCCCCTTGTGTTTCATTTTACTTTACACGAAATACCATTTTCCGTCATAAGTTAATGCATTTAAGTATAGAGGAGATTTTATGCAATTTTCATAACATGCGGGGATTTAGTGCATATTTTCAACAATATAAGTGGTTTTTATGCAAATTTAATTTATTCGTTTAAATTTCGTATTATTTTCTTAAATTAAGTGGAACACGTTTATTCAGTTACAATATGAAAAATAGAAATGTAATAGGTGATGTGAATGTTTTTTAGCAAAAAAAAAAAAATTATATGATATAATTTATGAATTTATAATTTTGATTTTTTAAAATATATAATTATATTATTAGAATTATTATATATTTTTAGAATTAATTTTGGATTAATTATATGTAAAAACATAAATAATTTGAGAATTCGTTCCAACTTCCATCTCGAATACTATTTTTTTTAGTTTTTATATTTTAAATTAATAGATGCATTCGACTTAGTTAAAGAAAATAATGTGAATTTTTAATGAATAGCTTTTTTTTTTTTTTGCATAGACCCCCTTGTGTTGCAAAACCATGCACCAAATCCCTCTAAGTTACACAAAACTTGCATAAAATCCCCTCTATAATTAACGGTGTTAATTATTAACGGAAACGGGGATTTCATGCAAGGAAAAATGAAATACAGGAGGGTTTTACGCAATACAAAAGAACACATGAGAATTTGGTGCATGTTTATCATAACACGGGGTGATTTTATGTTGTTTACCTCTGACTATGGTCCATTTTATATATATATTTCAAAAGAATAGGAAATCTTAGTTAGTATAAGGATTGCATGCATTTATTAAGAAAAACTTTGACGCGGGCCAAAATATAGTCTATCATAACAATGAATAAGAGGTTGTTGCAATTAGTATCCTTGTGAAAATCACAACTATGCGTTTTACCCTATCATAATTTATTTTGCAAAGATGGAAGCTGAGATGGGTTTGACGATGGCTGTGTGGTAGGCTGTTGAGCAAAGTTGGCGGCAGAGAGGAGTTGGGCGGTTGGTGGTGTTGGAGGAGGCTGGTTCACGGTGAAGAGGATTGATGAAATTTTGGTATGTGAAGACCAATGTTTTGAAACCCGGACCAGACCGGCCGGTTCGACCGGTTCAACTGCGAACCGCTACCTTGTCCGGTCCGGTAGGCACTATAAACCCGAAAATAGCAAAAACCCAGTTTAATAGGTAAAACCCGTCTTTTTGGGCGGTCCAACCGTAAACCCGAAAACTGGATAAAAATTCTTTTTTTTTGAGAAATTAATTGTAGATCAGATTAAGATAATGGAGAAAGAAGAAAAAAAAAACGAGAATAAAAGAACACTCGGTCAAAATTGCCGCTGATGTGGCAGAAGGGTTGGGGTGGGCTAGTACTCGGACTGTGTCCTCGGATCTTGAGCTGGAATCGGCAATGGTGGCTTGATGGGTGGTGATGTTGAGGAAGAGAAGAAGACGCATATGACGGCGGAGGAAATGGAGAAAAAACAAGGGTTTGGCATTTGGGGGTAAGTAGGTGGGCGAGTATTTGAGGAGTCTTTTTGTATTTTATTATATTAGTGGAGAGAGAGGGACTAATGAAATAAAGAAATATAAAAAAGAAAATCTAAAAGTATATTCAACGAAAAAATATTGAAATATATTAATATAAATATAAGTAAATTATTTAACGAAAAAATATTGAAATATATTAATATAAATATAAGTAAATTATTTACAGTAGATGTTTAATAAATTAATTTATCTCTTGAATAGAATTTAATGATGAATATATTCATTAAAGTACATTTTTAAAACATAATATATACTATAATTATTCACAAATAATTAAAAATAGAAAATCTTATAAAACTCTGTTGGACCTCGGTTGAACTGGTCCAACCGTAACCCTAGTGGGATAATTACACTTTTGGTCCCTAATGTTTGGCCCGATTTTACCTTTGGTCCCCCTTGTTCCAAAGTGAACAAAGCTCACCTCCAAGTTTCAATTTTAAACACTTTTGGTCCCCGCCGTTACATATCCGTTAGCAAGTAACGGAAAACACTATTTTGGGGTGAAAATTAAAATTTTAAACTCTTTTGGGGCTAAAAATAATTATAAATTTAAAATAGACTATTTATAATTTTTAATAATAATAAAAAAAAAGAAATCCACGAAACAAATTATTTTTTAATATAATTAATATTATTATAATTATATTACTTTTAATTATACTACTTATAATTAATTTTTTAATAATAAAAAAAAATTAACTAATTAAACAAATTATTTTGATCATACTTAATATTATTTTTAATTATACTAATTATGATAAAAAAATTAATAACAAAAAATTTACTTAAATAAACAAATTATTTTTAATTATACTAAATATTATTATAATTGTACTACTTATAACTATTTTTTTAATAATAAAAAATAAATTAACTAAACAAGTTAATTTTAATTATACTTAATAGTATTTTTAATTATACTACTTATAATAAAAAAATAATAATAAAAAAAAGGAATTAGCTGAACATGTCATGTATGATTATACTTAATATTATTATAATTATACTACTTATGATTAATTTTTAATAATAAAAAAGAAATTAACTAAATAAATTATTGTGCATTATACTTAATATTAGTTTCATTATACTACTTATGATTATTTTTTAATAATAATAAAAAAAATTAACTAAATAAATTTCATTATACTTAATTTTATTAAAAGTTTAATTATAAGTAGTCTATTTTAAATTTCTAATTATTTTTCAGCCCCGAAAAAATTTAACAATTTAATTTTCGCCCCAAAATAGTGTTTTCCGTTACTTGCTAATGTACTTGTAACGGCGGGGACCAAAAGTGTTCAAAATTGAAACTTGGAGGTGAACTTTGTTCACTTTGAAACAAGGGGGACCAAAAGTGAAATCGAGCCAAACATGAGGGACCAAAAGAGTAATTATCCCGTGAAGACTATGATGATTTTTTTTTTGTTTCTTTAATTAAATTTTGGAAAATAGCAGTTTAACCTGTTTTAGTTTCTGCAAGTTTTCGAAAATTCAATTTGGCCCCTTAATTTTAAAACATACATGTTAAAGGGTTGCGACTTTTATTTTTGCAGAAACCTCCCCGCGGTATTTTAGTCTTTGCCAATCGGTCAACGGGAAAAAGGTAAATGGGTCGACTGTGCATGTTGCATAAAAAACAATTCAGGGAGTATTTGCTAATTTTTTTTTACGACTGGAGAAAGGGGACAACTATTTCAAATCCCAACTTTTGCTTACTTGAATACTACCAAGTTGAAAACCACAATTGAGTACATATTTATAAGTTTTTTTCTTACTTTAATACCAAAATAAAAAGAAAAGTACAAAAACACCCTTTCATACAAAATATCAATTATGTCAATTTTTTTTTTGAAATTACCTATTTGAAAACCAAAAAAAAAAAAAAAAACATTTCATTCCACCGCTCCAACCCTCCCTCGTCGCCGGACGTCACCGCCGCTGGACGCCGCCGCCAAACACCGCCGAACACCGCCGAACGTCGCCGAACGCCGTCGCCGCTGAATCCATTGTTATCAAGCCGCCGCCGTCTTCGAATACAAGTAATATTTGTTTTCGATTTTTTTTCGTTAATATTTATTTAGGATTTGATTGTTTGATATGGGTAATTAGGATTTGGTTGTTTTAGGTAGGAATGATCGTTAATTAGTAATGGGTGCATCTGATTTCAGTCGATTTGAGCATTGATTTGAGATTCGTGGGTCAGTTCTTCGTTCACAATATTCGACCTGTATATGTCGATTTTTTCGAAATTTTCGACAGATTGATGTCGAAAATTCATCCAAAATCGACATATAGTTGTCGATTGTTTTGAAATCTTTGAATTGAATGTTTGATAATTCGATAGCAAACTGTCGAATTCATTCTGTGTAATTTTTTTTAATTTTTTTATTAATTTTTATTCTTTCCTATTTTTATTTGCTTGTGTTTATATTATGTATATTTATTTTTATTTGTGTGTTATTTTGCAGTGGAAGAACTACGTGCACCTCGTATACCTTCGACTGTCTCGAACCGTAAGAAGAGGAAGGAATTATCCGATAAGGGCAAGGGCAAGGCAATCACGACCAAGAAAAAGACCATAACCAAGAAGAAGTCTGGAGAGGCTAGCTGTCGAAACAAGGTTGTTTCAAAATTTTTTTTCGATAATTTGAAATTTTAATTGTTTTTGTCCAAAAACACTTAGAATATGTTTTTTATGTTACATTGCAATATATTTGGGGTTAATTTCACAAAAAAAAAAAAAAAAAAAAGAAAATTTGCAATTTATCTCGAAAAAAAAATAAAATTGAAACAGCCTAAATTCGACAGGTAGCTGTCGAAACAAGGTTGTTTCAATTTTTTTTTTCGATAATTTGAAATTTTAATTTTTTTTTTGTCCAAAAACACTTAGAATATGTTTTTTATGTTACATTGCAATATATTTGGGGTTAATTTCAAGAAAAAAAGAAAAAATGCAATTTATCAAAAAAATAAAATTGAAACAGACTGAAAAATAAAACACAACACTTAATAACATTGAAACTAGCACCAGTAACTTTACATAGTTTTGCTCGGAGAACTATCACCATTGTCTGATATAAATAATCTCGAAACTCTCTCGCGTGACAACATTTTGATCATCTTCACCTGGTACCTTCTTGCCAACATAATGGCCCCCACGCTCACAACGAACAATCACATACGGTGTCCTACGTCCTCTATCCCCGTCACTCGGACCCGCAATCATTAACACCATTCCAATTCTTTTACATACTTCACGAACCCATGCCAATAAAGCTTCTTTTGTTGGGAATTTTTCTGACGTGGTAAATGAATGGGTGCAATCGATCTACACAAAAGTGAAGAAAATATAAGACAAGTAAATTTGCAACAGGCACAAAATCGACATTTAAGTGTCGAAAATGACCTCAATTTTCGACACATAAGTGTCGAAAATATGGGCAAATTCGACACTTAAGTGTCGAAAATATGGGTCATTTTCGACACTTAGGTGTCGAAAAATGTAGTAAAATTCGACACTTAAGTGTCGAAAATGAATAAAATATCAATTGCCATCAATTTTCGACACATACATGTCGAAAAATAAGCACATTTTCGACCTGTATATGTCGAAAATTGATGGCGAATTTAATAAAAAAATAAAAATCAAAATCGATGTTTTAGATCTTAAAATACATGAATACATACCTTAATGGGTTCTCCTTGCTCGTAAACTACCATTCTATTGTCATTTGACGCCATTTTGCAAGTTGTGTAAGGTTTTGCACAGTTGCGATTTTCACAAGGGTACTAAATGCAATAAGCTCCAATAAACCTATGTACAAATGTAGGTTCTCTCACTCTGGGTTTGCCATGAAGATTTCTCGTAGCCCATGTATACCCGTCAATGAAATTTTAGTGAAGCAATTAATTGAATTAATCTGATGGTGACATCTTTTAGAAAAACCACACAGCTTATATATAACTATATATTAGAAATTAATATTTAGTTATATTATCAAACTGACATTAAAATTATTTAAAATATTATAAGGGTATAAGCAAACTTTATAATGTTAAAGAACAATAATCGTTGTTAATAAGATAAATTATGAAAATTCTCCTCAACTTACGCTAAATTACAGAAAATACCCCCACTTATCGGTGATTACCAAAATCCCAATAATGTTTGTTTTCGTCTTACAAGACCCCCTTATGGTGTGATTTTTTACGGAATCTTTTTTATTTCATGTAATATCCAAATGGATTCTACCCTTGCAAACGTATTTCTTTTATCGTACTTTTTAAATACAAAAATTACCCTCATGGGTGGCCATGGCAATAATAAAAATTTATGAAAGTGTTATTTAAGAAAAATAAAGATTACGTGTAAAGCCCCGTTGAGTGTAATTTTTGTCTTTAAAAAGTACCATAAAGAAATGTCGCGTGTGCATGGTATAACCAGCATTTTTCGAGGAATATTCCACGTAACAAATAAATTCCTTGAAAAATCATACCATAAGGGGCTCGATTTAAGACGGAAACAAACATCAGGGGAATTTTGATAATTACAAATATGTGGGGCGTTTTTTCTTAATTTAACCTAAGTTCAGGAGGTTTTCATTAGTTATCCTTGTTAATATACAACTTAAACTTATTTACACGTATAACCATATGTGAGAAACTAACATAAAGGCTTATGCTATTGAAAATAGATTAAATTTCAAGTAAACGAAAGTCACTATAAAATGCTTATATAAATAAAAATTGGAAAAATAAGTTAGTTAGATTTTTGTGTAAATCGGTCGAAAATATTGTGATTTAAAAAAAAAACATAGAGATATAGAATTGATAATAGATTCTTATAAACATTATACAATAAATAATTTCATTTTACAAATATATTAAAATGGAAATTAAAATAAATATAACTTATTATATATAAAGGATTCACTAATTTAGATACATAACTTGTAAGTTAGACAAAAGAACTCATATATTCCAATACCAAAATATAGTGAAATATATACAATGTTAAAATATTTAATAATCATTTACGCTATAATACCCTACATTAATATTTTTATTTTCATATAGTTGAAAATTTAAATTTAAAAATTAGTCAGAATATTTTTAGCTAAACATATTTTTTTCCAATGATAGGTTGTCTATATCTTTCCTTACCCACACTATAGGATTGTAGTAAATAATCTCATATATGTTCTATATAGTATCAATATCGTGCCAAATGAAATGATAACGACTTATTTGGAATTTGATAGATAATATTTTGTTGGTATACTATGATATTTGATATTTGATAGCTTTTTCCATCCATAGCCACAATATTGCATTAATCTTTCTCAATTTGAAAAGACATACACATAATTATGCAATTACTTCTCATATAATTGTAGTCGTTTATATAATATATAAATATCTTATTGAGTTTGTAACTAAAAGTGGATTGTAGAAACTACTGATTTGCCGATTGATATTGTATTTGTTAATATAAACTATTTACGGCAAGAGCACCTCGAGTTATTAAATGACCTATCAAAACATTTAACCACCATTTTCATACTCAAAAGTAGTAATTTTTTATTCCAATAGTGTTATAAAATGAGGGTTGTATTTTGATATTTAATCTTTCAGAATGTAAAAATACATTATGCAATCATGCGGAATAAAATATCAAACATGAATTATGAATTTAACCACCTCCGTGTCCATTTATAAAATAACATGTGGCAATTAGATATTAAATAAATTTAATTATATTTAATTAACATCTATTTAATGCCGATGGTTGGAGCAAATAAATTTAGTTAAATATCAAAATAAAATATTAAATAGCACATAAATATTTGCAATGTCATTTTGATACTTTTGGGTTGGAGTTGCTCTAGATATTTACTTAATTATAGAGTTATAATAAAATACTTATTATTGGAATACAATATATAGTATATACGATCATTTTACGTTTTAAACAAAACAATTGATATTCTCAATGTTTTGTATTAAATAAAGTGAATAAACAAATTTAGTACCAAAGATTTAGAATAACATTGTTATATTTTGAAATATACAAAATGCATTAGTTTTTTTTATCAATTGATTAAACTTAACTTATGTTATTCCATTAATTAATATATATATAATCATGATAAAGTTTGAATTTTAATTAGTATATAATTTAAAAAGTTAAATCAATCGTAAAATTTATTGTTACTGGATTCAGTGAAGAAAAAATAACTGTTTCAATAATAACATGAAATTCATGTAATATAATTTTCAATATGGTAAATAATTGGGAGTACATTACTCTACAATGGCAGAAAAATAATAGTGTCAATTTCGCAATATAGTAAATTGGAACATGTATCTTTATTTTTTACAGATCATATTAATATATAATATTAAATTAGTAAATAAAACATATTCTTTGGTCATGTTCATGTAAAATGTATAATATCAAATAATTTATTTTGCAATATTATTTAATATAAATCCAAGTTTATGAATTGAAATACAAAATTTCCGTAACACCACTAATCATGCAATTATAATAAAGGGAGATTTTAAATTGAATTTAACTAAATTCAAATTAAATTAATTACAAAATAAAATTCAAAAATAAATTTATTTTGAGTTTCAAAGAAAGTTGATATATTTAGAGCATTTTATAAATGGTAGGATATAAATATATTAATAAAATAATTAAATATATTTAATCACCTTTAATTTTGAAAAAATGATGACATGTTTTTTGATGATTTATTTTTACCAATCAATTCGCCACTTGTTATAAAAATGAGAACATGTCACCAATTGAAATTGTCAAATGTCAATCAATTAGGTGTGGAATTCAATTTGTATATATTATATATATTAATTTAGTTTAAAAACATATAAATAAAATATATTTATTTATTACTAAAATATAAATAAATATTTTAAGATCATATTCTATAACTATGTTATTCAAAACTTTAATTGTGAGAAGAAAATATTTAGTATTTCTTTTGTCCGAAGATCTCATATTCATATTTATATGTTCCATTCAAAGATATTACAATTCTAATATAAATAAATTAAATTATAATTTTTATTATAAATATTTTTCATATATACAATTCTATTATTTTTAGATAAACTTAACACAATAATTGTTGAAGTATTTCTAAAATAAAATTACATTAAAAAATTATATATAATATTTATATATAAAAAAAAACAAATGGGGCCCCACGGAAAATAGGCCCTGAGCGTATTCTTTTCACCACCTTTAAGATATTTAATTTTCTGTTTATTATTTTCTTATTTTTTGTTAGAGCAACTCCAATGCTAAACATCAAAATTGGATTATCAAATACTCATTTGATAATTAAGATAATATTTTAATATTTATTTATAATTTATTTACTCCAACCATGGTTATCTAAATCAATAATCAATTGGATGTTTTTTAATGGTTTTATTTGTTATTGCCATGTGTCATTTTTTGATTGGATGTTTATGTAGTTATTTTTTTGATAACTCAATTTTCGGGATGTATTTTTACATTCAAAGAGGTAGAATATCAAAATACTTACCCATTTTGATACTCCCATTGGAGTGGAAAATTTTGATTTTGGAATATCAAAAAGGTGGTTTATGGATTTGATAATCCATTTGATACTCCCATTGGAGTTGCTCTTAGAAAAAAAATATAGGCTTAATTTGTGCACAACACAGAAACATTATAAATAGATGCAAAGTGATCATCAACTTCTCAAGTCAATAACAAGTAATAAATTAATCCTACTTATGAAATAATTCTCTCAAAACAAAATTCGTTCGATCAATTTTCCGATGGAGACGGAGAAAATTATAGCCCGTGAGTAATAAAGAGGTGGCGAAGAAGGCTATCCTAGTGGGCTGCAACAACTATCCATATCCGAAAGAAAATCTTTCGGGATGCCACAACGACGTGTATAACATGCACAACACACTGATAAAAAGATTCCATTTCGACCCGAAAAGAATCTTGGTTATGGTGGACAAGCCCGGAAGCAAACATATGCCGACCGCTGCAAATATCAAGAAACAACTGAAGAAAATGATCGAAGATGCTGACGAGGAAGATAGGTTGTTTTTTTTCTTCTCTGGCCATGGAAAGACTTTTTGTCATAATGGAGAGAGTAAGCAGGCCATTGTCCCTTCTGATGACAATCTTATTACATGTAAGTGTTGTTATTTTATTATAATTAAAATCATTAATTAATTTAATTAATGTTAATCTCTGTTTTAATAATAATTATTGTTTGCAGGCATGGACTTTAGGTACTACGTGAACCGTTTGCCCAAAAAGGCGACTGTTGACTATAATGGTTGACTCGTGCTTCAGCGGTGGACTCATTGACAATGAACCGGTGTAGGTCGGGCAACCGTACTATCACTACAAGAAAAACTTGCATTAACGACACCTCAATTATGACAAATACAAAAGTTGTCACTTAATGCACACATTAAGTGACAACATTTTTTTATTGTCACTAATAACTCTTTTTGTTGTCACTTAATTCTTATTTATTATCACTATAGAGCATTAGCGACACCTTGCTAGTGACAAGCATAGTGACAACACTTTTTGCCTAACTATGTGAAAAATAGGTGTTGTCACTAAAAATATTTTTTTTTGTAGTGTATGTTCGGCCTCTAAAAATCAGACATGTGTTGTAAGAATAAACCTAAAATGATTCCTTACGAGTCCTACATGGCAAACTTGTCGGCCATGACAGGGCTAAACAATCCGGACATTGGAGCACACCTGGTCGAATTGTTCGGATCGGAAGCCAGCATCATGTTCAGGCTGCGTCCAGATCAGCATCCAAAGCCGTTGAAAACCAACCAGGGAATTCTACTGAGCGGCGGTGAACCTAGTGAGGAAACCTTTGAAGATCCGGAAGATAAAAATGGTCCTGTAGGTGGTGCTTTTACTAAAACTGTTGTAGCAATTCTAAAGGGGCACCTTGCCCAATTACAAACAAGAAATCGGTTATCAGGGTCCGCCAGGGGTATTTTGGGTAACAGGAAGAAAGATCCGCAGCATCCGTGTCTTTACTGTAGCAGCAAAAACGCGGATGCTGTTTTCCTTCGCAAAGCATCCCATGGTCGGGCTGAAATTGGTGAAACATCGGAAGATCGTGTGCTTGAGGACTGATCAGCAATAACTACTTCTCTACTATGCAAGTAATTACTAGATAGAACCACTACTACTACATTCATTTCATGTAATTATAAGTTTTCTTTAGATAATAGTCTACTGGTTCGTAATAATTATCGCGTAATTTAACATTAATATGATGAGAACATGTATAATGTTTGTTATTAATAATACATTATATTATTTTAGTGTTCCTTATTAGTTGATCTATTTCAGTGTTCCTTATTAATTGATCGATCTGATTATTTATTCCGTTTTATATCAGACTTTGTTTTCCTTTACTGTTTATATTGTAAACAAGGCAAAGTACTGTAGATAATAGCAGATGAACAAGAGATATTTATTATTTAATTGGCACAAGTTTCTGCAAATATCAAACAGGACATATATATATATATATATATATATATATATATATATATATATATATATATATATGTACATCTCCCCACTTTGTCCTACTTAATTTATTTTCTCTTTTTTTTGGGCACTCCAGGCCTTGAAACGACTCATCCAATCATATGGCAGATTTCTTTTCTTTTGTTTTAATTTTCAACCAGCTCGAACCTTTTCGTCTTCTGAATAAAATTTCTTTTTTGCTTTTCTTTTCTCTCCTCTGTAATACTCCTTACGTGCCATCACTTCCTTCTTCCACCGAAACTCTATACGTGCCCTCTCTTCCTTCTTCCACACAAAAGACTTCACAGAGAATTTCTTAATAAACCTTGTTGTCGGCAGATGGGCTCTCCTCTTTCTCCCAAATTCCACACCAGCAACAACTTCAAAAAAAAATATTTTCCGCTGCCGCCAACGCGTCTGTGCAAATTTCAGCCGCTCAATTTTCCCCCCCGCTCACTAAATTGCCGCCGCCCATTGGTATTTTCCGCTGCCGCCAACGCGTCTGGGCTCCGCGCAGCTACTTCTTCCGGCCTTGTGGCCGTTGTTTATCTATTCGGTGCCCCTTTTCCGCTCTCAAAAAAGGTCGGGCTCCCACATATTTTTACGGGTTCATTGTTAAATCCGAAAATTTCACTGTTCTCAGAAAATTTATTTGCGGAAATAATAATGCATCGTATCATTTTGTTTGTTGAATAGGTTAATAATATTGAACTTCTTTCTTTTTGACATGTTTTTTTTTCGCTATGTAAGAAGATTGTGGGTTTGGTCCGTTATTATTTGTTAGTATATGTTTAATCTATGTGTAACCTTGGATATGATATGACATGGTACAGTTTTATTGAATTTTTCTTTTTGTTTTTATTTATTTATTATATCTTATGATCTGATGAGTGATAATTTGAATTTCTAGAATTTTGGAGTTTTCTGGTTGGTTAAATTCAATTTGTCTTTGGAAAATCTCAATGAAGGGGAAACACAAAAAAATTTGTTTGATAATATGATGAAACCATTTTTGCTATTGTGATATCCTGCGCAAAATATATATTTATTTTGGATATATTTTGCCTTTGTTTGCATCTCTATTTTATTTTTCATTGCCAGCAACAAGTTTATGTTTTCATGATTTAGATACCAACTAATTTTGAATTCCAGGGTTTAATTTGTGAATAGTGTTACTATGGACCTGAACCGTTCCATGATTATATTGCTTCGTGGATTTCTGCACAAAACCGTAATTCATCGTCCTATGTTCAGACTGGGGACAAGGTACATTGATTTTAGTTTAAACCTTACTACCTTAGTTATTTTGATTTGCACTTGAGATCATTAGAATTTGCTATCTTATTAAACGTAAGTTGCGTTTATTGGAAATCATCAGTGAATCCTATCGGATAATTATTCCAGATAGGATCACCTAGCAGAGGTAAAATGTAGTTTTGTTTTGGAAATTTTATTGGTATTATTTTTCGCTTTCAAGAATACACTTTGCTTTGAAGATGAACATTTTCATCAAGTTTTTCTCTACGAGAATTTTTAGAAAAATGTCATAATATTGTTATTATTTCTCTAAGATTTTGATTGTATTCTTTGTTTGTGAATTTGCAAATTTGTATATTGCCAAAGTTTTCCTTCTCCTTTTATTTTTGCACCATGCTTTCTGCCAATTTATTCTTATTTTTCAATTGTTATGTTGTTCATACTTGGGAATGGCAAGTGTTATTATGATTAGGTTGTGGAGTTTTACACAGGGATATGTGTATGTCAACTGATTTTGAGGTTGGAGGGGCCATCATTTTATTATTTATAATATGTAATGGCCACATCGGATTTTTCCCAAGCAGATACAAATGCTCTTTTCACAATATTATTTCATGATTTCATGAGTTTTTTTTCTCATGGTCTACTAGGGACTGTTATACAAAGATTGTGGGTTGGTACACACAAAATGCATCAGGTATCATATTTCGGGTTTCATATTTTTGTCTCTTTTAGATTTATTTTTATTTTCATTACACGGAGTTTGTTGACAGCTAAATAGTGCTGGACAGTTGCAAAATGTAGCAACTTCCTTACAGGAGGAGTTTTGGAACTCAATGGACGCAGCAATGAAAAAGCATGGCAAGCTTTCTGCTGAGATCATTAATTATGTGAGTCGGGAGTTTTTGCTTTAAGGGGAACAATATGGTTCTTCGTTTTTACTTTTTGCTTTATTTTGTTATGTCCAGAACATATACAACTGCGTATCAGACTATTTTGATATTTATCTGGCAGGTCAAAGCTGAAATTTCTCAACTGGATAGATGAAAGGCAGCAAAATGAAGGAACTCGTTTAAAAAAGGTAAGGCAAATTTAGAATATATTTGTAGGAAGCCACAATTGGTTCCAAAAATAACCTGTTTTGGTAAATTCTTTACGGCCCTTTTTCTTTGTCTTCCTTTCGTTGTTTTTGTTGCGTAATCTGTTCGCAACTTTTCTTTTCAATTGGAGAGGGGCAGTTTGGTCTCAGTTGCATCAGAGCATTGCACATCTGTCTTTTTCTTCAAGTCGTATCTCTCTGATAAGGTATTAGATTAATTTTTTTGGGGCCTCTTTCACAATTATTTCATTGTTTTCATTTTATGCAAGTGCTGTCTATTGTATGCCTCCCATGGTAGTGCAGAGTCTTTTAATATATGATGCTGTCCTACAATGCTATTCAAATATTTTTTATCGTAATGATGCACTTGTATAAGTTGAACAAATCTGTGTTTAGTTAGGCAACACTTATACAAATCCATATAAATGCATCTCCTGACCTTTTTTTTGAACTATGCAACATGTCGAATACGTGCGGGCAACGCACGGGCACCGCGCAAGCCGCGGTGCTCCATACCTAGTATATATATATATATATATATATATATATATATATATATATATATATATATATATATATATATATATATACATGTTGCATTGTTTCACAATAATAATGTAATGCATGGATTAGTTACATACAAATACGACGTTGAAAGCTGGATGAGAGAAGAGGTGGTGGTGGATGGTGATGAGTGAGTGTGGTGGTGCGGTGGTGGTGGTGGTGGAGTTGCGGCAACCCGACCAACAAAGACATCTGGGATCACATTCATAATCTTCATAGCCACGGCATAGGATGGCACAAATACGTGGGTCGCATGTATTGAAGAATATTGACTTCTATATCCTTCCTTGTTTAGTTATGATAGATTAGGTTGTTTATACGATAATGCTTGATTCTCTCCTGGATTAGTTTCTTCTCCTCTATATAAATCTTGTATTATGTAATACATCGATATAATGAAACAGTTAAGTATTCTCCATATGAGGTTATCTTAAATTCTTCATGGTACCAGAGCAGTAGAATCCTGCAATTTTTTTTTCTTTCTCTGAGCATGTCTGGAGAAGAAATAACTGATACAAAAAAAATGTCAAAAGTGGTTGCTACCACCTCATTCAATCCCGGTGTTGATAATGATGTCATCAGCACTTCTAAAAAATGGACCGCTACGTTGTTAAACAAATTCAATTTACTACCATGGTCGAGAGCTATAACTATTGCTCTTGGTGGTAGATCAAGATTGGGATTTATCAATGGCAAAGAAAAAACACCAGATCCAAAGTCACCAGAATATGATATTTGGCTGCAAAAGGATCAAATGGTTATGTCCTTAATTCTCAACTCAATGGAGCGTCATCTTGCTGAAATTTTTAGTTATTCTGAGTCCTCTTTCGACCTATGGGAAGCTGTTCGTGAAATGTATTGAAATCAAAACAACTCTGCCCGGATTTTTTTGATTCAACAAGATATTGCTAATACTCATCAAGATGAAAAGCCGTTCATCAGTTTATTAGGCACCCTAAAAGTCTTGTGGAATGAGTTAGATCTTTATCGACCCTTAACAACTGATCCGGCCGTCTTGAAGAAACAGACTGAAGAAGATCAGGTTTTCCAATTATTAGTCAGCCTTGGCCCTGAATATGAGGATCTAAGGTGCCATATTTTAATGAATGCAGAACTTCCATCCTTAAAAGATGTTTGTGCAAGAATTCAACGTGAAGAAGTTCGCCGAAAAGTTATTACCCGCGATACTACTCCCAATACGCCCGATGTTCGTGCATATGTTGCTCATCAATCATGTGAAAAGAGGCCGTACAAAGGCAAACGTCCATATTTGAAATGTGAATATTGCAATGCTATTGGACACTCTATGGATCGTTGTTGGAGTCTTTATCCAGATATGAAGCCGAAATTTCCAAAAGATAAAATGGGAGGAGAAAAAAAGAGGGCCAACCATCATAAGGCACACGTAGCTGCACATACTGGTGAATCAGTTTCTTCCCATCTTTCCTTGTTAAATAATTTTGCTAGTTTTTTGCAAGAAATGCATGGTCAAGGAGGCAACCAACACGGGGCAGACATACAAACTCACAATGATCTGAGTGCACTTCTTAGTAAATTTGCATAAAACAGTCAAAGTATTCTGATTGCCCTTATAACTGCATTAGAAATTAGTAATTCACATGATTTATGGGTTATCGATTCTAGTGCCACAGATCACATGTCAAACAAATTAACAAATATTCGTAATTTTATTCCTTTCTCTACGCCATCTTTTGTTTCTGTAGCAAATGGGAAAGGTGCACCTGTTAAGGGTAAGGGAAAAATCAACCCATATGTCCCTTCGTTTCCATTTCAACTGCTTTCTGTTAAGCAATTAACATTGTCTCTTAATTGTTCGGTTTTATTTACTCCTTATAAGGTGATACTTCAGGACCTTACCACCAAGAAGAAGATTAGTGAAGGGTTCCAATTGCAAGGACTTTATTATTTTCCTGGTCCTCCATCTCCAAATAGCTGTCAAGCTATTGTATCTCCAATCAATAAATACATACTTTGGCATCGTCGTCTAGGTCATCTGTCGGAGTCAACTTTTTCAAAAATAAATCCAAATTTGCGTAAAGG